CCCCCCCCTCTCCCTTGGAATCATATGGCACCAGGTTAATTATTAATTAAACGACCCTGTATGGATTTAAAACAATTTAATTATTATCTGGTAATCCAGTTAGCAAGTTTAGTTCATTTTAATTCCAAAGAACTGATGGTAATTTTGATTAATTTTGGTACACCATGTGTAAACTTAAATGTCCCCCTGGTTACTTCTCCTTGTTGTTTATGGAAAGTGTGTAAGATCGAAAGTAACCTTGTTAATAACAAAATTTGTTTACCATATAAGCGATCACGTAATGCTATATCCTTGAAATATATAAACGACTAAGGTGATTAGATAAGTGGTTACGTAAGATTTTAATTGAACACAGGGGCACAACATGTACGATATTTTTGTGTGACTCCGTACCAAAAGTCAATGAACTGCAACGTAAATGATTCACAAATAACGTGTTATCAGAAGTTTTTTAGTCCAAACAAAACCCAAACAAATGCATGAAATAATAGGTTTAACCATTATTAATAAATTAACATTATTACTATTGTAAAGATTGTTTATGGTAAAATAATTTCAATAAATAATTGACCATGGTTTGATTGTAATTAAAGTAATTTAACCATAACCGCAATTTATTTAATCCGTTGAGTACAGTCGCGCTACGAATTTTGTAGACAATCTCAATGTTAGTGCAATACATATATGGGAACAAAAATAAACAGAGCATTCAATTTCATCACTACTTTTTACAACACATAGCGGATAAACTCAATAATAGACTCATTGAAAGGCATTTATGAATGACTGCACCAAAAGAGTGGCTGTATTTGAGTGCCATTGAAATGAAGGCATTCGCTGTACAGTGTGTGCCATATATTGGGCGCCAAAAGCACTCAGGAGTTTGTCAATAGATTTGTAATTTTTTTTGTTGCCATTCATTACACGCTTTCAATTGATAGTCGGCTCACATGTGTGTCCACTGAATCCCATTAACGCGGATCCGTTTGGACATCACCGCGACATACGTGTGGCTGTCAGTGGCGGACACGTCAGGTAACAAAACCCGTCGCCCGATCCCATTGTCACTGAAACATGGCTTATGTCTTGAGAGCTATTGTGTGGTGACATGTGGTCACACGCGTGGACACGATGTTCACGATATATCGATGACAATATCACTAACTTATGTCTTGTATTGTTTCAGTGTCTAAACCAATCAAGCAATACATACAGCGATGCCGTCCTCTTCTGCGAGTTCGGTGTCGGACAACGAGTTTGAGAAGAAGAAGGGTTGGGATGAGAAGGAGTACGACTCGGATGGCAACGAGTTGTATGTCGTGGAGAGGATCTGCGACAAGAGGATGATGAAAGACCCGGACAACAGGAACTCCAAGATATGGATGTATCACTTGAAGTGGAAGGGCTATGGAGAGGGCGAGAAGACGTGGGAACCCAAGAGCAATATGGACTGTCCGGACCTCTTGGAAGAGTTCGAGAAGGAGTGGAAAGTAAAGCAGGAGAAGGAGAGGAAGCGGAAGGAGAGAGAGGAGCGCGAAGAAGAGCTGCGGCGCTCCGAGAAGTACCTCAAACACAACAAAGACAAGCATAAGTCGCCGAAAGCGGGCCGTCGCTCGTCCTTTGACTCGGATTACGATACGAGCAAACCGTCGGGAAGTGGTGTCTCACGCGATGACATCCGAAAGTTCGATAAGGTTTACCATTTTCGCCGGTTTTGTGTTGTTTTGAGTGTTTGAGTGATATTTGTTTGTTTGGGTTTTGGTCTATAGAAGAAGAAACGGTCGCACAGTTCGGACAGCGATTCCGAAGCCGACCGCAAGAAGAGGAAGCACTCGATGTCGACGCCGAAGTCTTCGAAGAAGATTAGCAAAAAGGATTCGGACAGCGATTCAGACGGCGATAAGAAACGAAAGAAGAAGGTCGAGGAGGAGAAGCGCAAGAAGAAGGTCGCGTCCGACTCGGACTCCGATTCTGACGCCAAGTCTAAGGCCAAGAAGACTGAATCGGAGCCCAAGAAGTTTGAGAGCGAAGCCGAGAAGAAGATAATGTCTAAACCCGGACCCAAACGGGCGAAAGAGGCGGCGCTTAAGAAACTGAAGGAAATGGAGACNAGACTGAATCGGAGCCCAAGAAGTTTGAGAGCGAAGCCGAGAAGAAGATAATGTCTAAACCCGGACCCAAACGGGCGAAAGAGGCGGCGCTTAAGAAACTGAAGGAAATGGAGACTCAGAAACCGAAACCAAAGGATTCGGACGACGAAAGCGACTCAAAGAGCAAACCGAAGAAGAAGTTGGACTCGGATTCAGACGACGACTCGAAGACCAAAAAGAAAGAGTCAGAAGAGGATGACGTGAAGAAGAAGATAATGTCAAAGCCGGGCCCCAAACGGGCCAAAGAGGCCAGACTTCAGAAGGCTATCGAAGAGGAAAAGAAGGCAAAAGAGAAGCCAAAAGCCGTCGATTCGGACGACGAGAAGAAGACAACGCAGAAGAAGAAGGAATACGTCTCGGATTCGGACGACGAGAAAGAATCGCGATGTTTACCGAAGGCATCGACGGCTGATAAGAAGGCCGACAAAGAGGAAGAGTTGGCGAAGAAGATAAGGCCCGGACCTAAGCGGGCAAAAGAGGCTCAAATGGCGAAACTGAAGGCCGACTCTACGCCAAAACCCGAAGAGAAGAAGAAGACTGTTGTCGAGGAATTGATTGATAACGATTCCAATGATAAGAATTCTTCGTCCTCTTGGGATACGGACGACAAGAACAAGAAAGAGGCAGAAAAGCCGAAGAGTCCGACAAAAAGTCCGTCAAAACAAGAGAAACCCGCGGAAGAGGAGAAGTCGGAGCCGCTGTCGGCCCGACTCGACAAAGTGCTGCTCAAACCGGGACCCAAACGGGCAAAAGAGGCCCAAATGGCTCGCCTGAGCAAAGCCGCGAGTGAAGACAGTAGTAGTAATTCAGTGATTAGTAAGAAAAGCGATGATAAAGAGTCAGACAAAGAGGAGAACAACAAGTCTGACGACGAAGAGAGTGAGTCGACGTCCGCCGCCAAGAAAGACGAGACCACCAAAAGTGCGGAGAAGAGTAGTCCTAAAAAGTCTAGTAATGAAGAGCAGCGAAAGTCTGTGCTCTCGAGACCGGGTCCCAAACGCGCCAAAGAGGCCCGACTTAAACGTCTGAACGATTCGCTCCAGACGTCTGGCGTCACTGAAACTAAAGACGACAGCAATTCCAATAACTCTAA